CCTGGGGGGGGAGGGGGGGGCTGTGCCCCCCCCCCCCCCGGATCTGTGTGTGGGGCGAGGGTGGGTTGCCTGCTGTGGGCTGGGGCAACGCTGGGCTTTTCCCCTGTGTTGGGGGACTGGACCAGGGCTGCTGGACTCCGGCCAGGCGATGCTGGGAGGGGGGCTACAGGTCCCCCACAGCCGCTCTCCCAGTGCTGCCACTGCCACCTGCTCTGAGCACAGCCTCGGCTTAGACCCCCGTGTCGGGAAGAGCCCGGCGCCAACCCCAGCCCCAGGCACACAAAGGGCAGCCTGCCCTCACCCTGCACACAGATCCAGGGGACATTTGCCCCCTCATGCCTTCCCTAGGAGTGCACGCAGGGGTGTCAGCCACCCCCGTGGACAAGCCACTTGCGGCTTTGTCCGATACCCCACCCTGGCTGGGCAGCGACTGTCCCTGCCTCTACCCCAGTCCCTTCCTCACCCCAGGGGCCTTGATTTGCACCCCCACCCTCTTTTCCTCCTCACTTCTCCCCACAATACACCTACCAACTGGATGCTGCTCTCCAAACTGCCGGGCTGCATATTGGCAATTGGATCGGTATCAGCCAGGACAGCTCATTAATAAAATTGGCCATTGGTATTGACCCAAAATATCTTTACCAGTCCACCCCTAAAGATAATCACTCTCCTAATCTCATGTCCATGATAACAGCACATGGAAACGAGCTGTGCACATTTTTTTTTTTTTTTTTGCCTCAGTATGTAATAATATGAAACTGATGAACATCTGCCCACTTATGAGTGTGGTAAGAATTAAATGAACTGAAACATATGTAACAGTCTATAATCTGAAAAAAAAACCACTCTCTCCAAGTCTTACATCAGCAATTATCTTCATTTAAAGTTTTGCTCTCCCTACACAAGCAAAAAAAGGCAGCTAGCTTACTCGCTACATATAATAATTCACAGGTTTTGTGAATAACTTATGAACATGCAGACAAATAAAAGATTTTGTGTAATTGTGAAGATGTCTTGTGCAATGTGCTGGAAGGTATTCCCCTAAGCACTACAGGTTTTCTGCAAAGGTGGAAAGGGTTAGTTACACAAAGCAGGCCACCATTAAGGAGACAAGGAAACAAGAATTCTCCTTAACATAATGTTGTTCAGTTATACTTTCCTTGAATTTGAGTGTATACACTATTCAACAACATTCCTATCAAACTTCTTCCATCAGTTTGGCTGCTCCCCAAACACTACCATAACTTTGATCTTATTTTTATTGATCAGCCCCAAATACTTTCTCAGTGAGACTGCCACGTACTATATGGTGGGGGCATTTCCAACAAGTACTTCATATCAATGCATATGCACATTATTTTCTTTAGCAACATGAAAAACTGTTTCATCAAATCTCCATGTTGCTTTCAACTCTTTGTTGTAGCCTTTCCTGTCCACTTCACAATTTTACTTGTCTAGATTCATTGACAAATGTGATTATGGCTGAATTTCTGAAGACAAAATTTGCCCAAGGTAAGCAGCAGTCACACAAAGGGGTAGAGGTTTGTGACTCTCCACTCCCCTTTTTAATATGCTTAACAAGAGCTCTAGAGATTTCCTAGGCTTCCTACTTGACACCAATGATTAAACAATGTGACAGAAGCTAATAATTGTGTGAGTCACTGACCTAGGATAATGTTAAAATAAAAACACTGCATTTACACATAGTAAGAAAATAACTGGTATTAATAGAAACATCACAAGCTAGACAGTTCTAGTATCAAAACAGTCAGTTTGGAATACAGCACTGCGCTCAATTCTGTTTGCATTATTATGTAAAGGAGATTAGAGACAGAAAAGGTCAGTGAGGGCAACAAGTGTGATTGAGGGAATTTGGCCAGAGAGGTTGGAGGAACTAAGTGCGTAGGTTCTGCCAAAGAAAAAGGAAAAGAATGACCTCAATAAGGTCATGTAAGATTCTGAAGGGAAAAAGAAAAACAATATTTAATCTTGTGTAAAATGCAAGAGTAGTGGCATGAACTCAAACTAAGGAAGGTCAGAGCCTAAAGGAATACATTATACAGAGAATAATTAATCAAAAAGTGTTATGTGCATTTATCTATCTGAAACATTTAAATTAGATGCAGTCATGCTGCATTCCAGAGAGATTGTCATTGAAATAAACACTTGAAACTTAGCTGATTTTGTCAAAAGAAAACTGAAGTGAGTTTTTCCAAACCTCACACAAGGTTTCCACTTAGTTGAAAGGGACTGCCCAAATTTTCAGTGAATCATTGTCCCAAACATAGAATTGAGGAATTTTTACTTGAACTTCTTTATTGGGATGTATAACCAACAGCAGCTTCACTCTAGAATCTGAGCTATTTAGGGAGGAGCTGGAGGTCTCCAAACTCTTATGGCATGTTTACACCAATTCAATAGGATAAAACATATCCATTACCTTCTGAACCAGAATTGGCATAGCTAGCTTAGAAGAACCGAGAGCATGACAACAAGCTCCTGACGTGCTCCAAAGTGCACCAAGTGAGCTATGCTACTTATGGTTTGGGAGGTACTGTCCCCACTCCATATGCAGTCTCTCTCTCATCACTGGACTGCTAAGTGACATACTTGAGTAGTATAAATACACACAGAAATCATTTTGACCCAAGGGGATCAGTTCTAGGAGAAGAATATGAGCCAACTTCTCCAACAGATCGATAAGATATGTATTAATACTCTAAATACTGAACATCTGAGAGATATTCAAAAGCACGTGTTGAACTAATGGTCTCATTCAACAACCACTGAAGTTGACAGTGAAACTCATTTACTTCAGCTAGAAGAGTTAGGCAATGGCTGTTCTTTTTACACAATCACATTCAATATTTACTACACAATTTTACACTTACCGTACACCAGCCAAATGTCTGTTGTAGTTATTACAATTATTACTGAACAAAGAATTTATTCTGTCAAGTAATAAAATGTACTCTTTTCTACCTGCCGTGCTTTATGGGCTGTCTCAATGCCATGATTTCTCAGACAGCTTAAAGCCCTTGCATCTGGGCAGCACCCCACGTTCCAGTCAGAAACAGCAGCACTGTCTGTCATCCACTGCAACAAAACACATACATACAACACATTTAAAAGAAATTAAAAGTACAGTACCTGCCTGGCAATATGATTCATGTTAATGCCATGCTTCTTCATACAAGTCTGTCCTCGATAGTCAGGAGGGTTTCCTATTTCATAGGTAGATGTCGCTGCACTGTCTATCCTCCACTACAGAAAAACAAATTTAAATATTTATGTTTTTCTTCCCATAGCTGACATAACACTGACTGACTAAGAGACAGTATATTTTGGCAACAATAGAAAAGTTTACCTTATTTTCAACATTTTCATCTGTTACAAGTTTTCTAAAAACAGCTTCAGCTATGGGTGATCGGCAAATGTTCCCTATAGAAAGAAGAAACTGAATTAAGTTTGGCATCATGTTTTTTTGTTTGTTTGTTTGTTTTTTAAAGCAAATTATTAGTTGAAAGGTCTAGTTCTGGTCATAACTATTGTTACATCCCCTCAGTGAATCTACAGCAGTGGAGCCACAACATGACCTCTGGAGAAATCTCTTTACTTACATTTCGCCACAATGGGAGTGAAGGTACAGCCCATAGGGATGCCTTAACAAAGGCTTTTGAACTGTATCCAAAGTTTGCTATATTCTATCCCACTCATGTACAAAGTAACTATGTAATCATACTACTATTCTCCCCCCCTCCCCAACCCCAATTCCCTTTGTGACCGTACTGAAAAGGGCAGAATTTTGAAGTGTGCCCATGTATCTCAAATGTGAGTTAACTGTCACGTGTTCATGTCTTTTGACATCATAGTTTTAAATGGCAAAAAATTAGGAATTTTTAGGTGGCTTCAATCCACATTTAGCAGATTTCAGCTACAATCTCCTAATTCAGTGGTGGCCAAACTTTTAGGCAGGTGTGTAGCAAGTTCAGCCATTCCCTCTCTCCAAGTGCCACTCTGATCCCCTTCCCCTGCCCAGTCTGCCACTTCCCAAATACCGTGGCTGTCCATGCTACTTGTGGCATGCATGCTACCAGTTGGCCAACCACGTTACAGAAATGAATCACAATGTTTCCTAAAGAAGGGCCAAGATACTACACTTGATATGAACCTTCAAGAGGCTGAGAAGTGCTAATATTGCCCATTTTGTCCAATATCTTCATTAACAATCTGGATGATGGGACGAATTGCATCCTAAGCAAGTTTCCAGATAACATCAAGCTGAGGGGAGTAGCAGATAGCCTGGAGGGTATTTAGTCTAGATAAGAGAAGACTGAGGGGGGATTTGATAGCAGCCTTTAACTACCTGAAGGGAGGTTCCAAAAAGGATGGAGCTAGACTGTTCTCAGTGGTGGCAGATGAGAAAACATGGAGCAGTGATCCTAAGTTGCAGCAAGGGAGGTTTAAGTTGGATATTAGGAAAACTTTCTTACTAGGAAGGTGGTGAAGCACTGGAACAGGTTACCTAGACAGGTAGCAGAATATCCATTCTTGGAGGTTTTCAAGGCCAGCGAGACAAAGCCATGGCTGGAACGATCTAATTAGGGCTGGTCCTGTTTTGAGCAAGGGGTTGGATTAGATGACCTCCTGAGGTCCCTTCCAACCCTAATTTCTATGATTCAATAATCAATACGGGAGAATTGCATGAAAACCCACACAAATTAGAAAGGAAATAAAAGCAGAGGATAGGATAATACAATGTCTGTCTATGCTGTTTCACTCCTTTTTTTTTCCAATACACTTCCACCATGTAGTTGGATTTATTTGTAGGGAGTATGAACTTTTATAGTTTTTGCTACCTTCTTTAATAGCAATTTGACCTCATCTAGTTCTTTTATAAGACAACTCAAGTGAAGTTTGTTGGACAACTTCTTACAACTGCAATAGGATTCAGGAAAGATTTAGTTTATACTATGAAGTGGATAGAATTGAAACCTTTGTAAGCTCAGCTACCCTTTGCTATTTAGTTCAATCTGGAATTAGTTCAGGAAAAGTCCTATGTCTGTTCTATACAGAAAGTTAGATTAAATAAGTATTACATGGGCCAGCTTGGCAGAATTCAATTTTGGTTTTTTTTATAAATTTGATGGGGGGGAGGGGGAATAAATTGATGCTTATTTTTAAGCATCTCTTTCGATTTTTAAATCAATCGAAATGGCCATAGTGCCCTTAGGGCTCTGGGACTGTGCCTGCTCTGCCCTTCAGGTGCCTTCTAATCTCACCTGCTTTGTTGGTTAAAAAGATAAATTGGGAGGCTGCCCATGAGTTTGTGTGGTCATGGTCCAGCTGAACCTCAATAGACCCCACTGGTCTTGGATCCCTTGCCAGGTCTTACGGGACACCCTAAGCCTTATGGGCTAAATGCGTGGCTCCAAAACCTCCCCTTTACCACGCCCCATGCCTCACAGGTGGTATATGAATAACGTCTCCCTAATCCACTTTTAGAATAACTTGGCCTCCTGTGGGCCCTGGGCTCTGCAGCCCCTGTCACTGTGCCCTCTCTGGCGCTGGGCTCTCTGCAGCCCTATATCTGTGCCCTCTCTGGTGCTGGGACTCTACACAATAGTGTGCCCCAATGAGGCCTCCCCCTCCCCTTCCCAGTCCACTGGTTTAAAAGACAATAGAAAAAACAAGTCCCTGGGCTACAACATAACAATAACAATGGAAGCCACACTCTGCCCCTTTAAGAAGGTAAACCTCCCTCTTATTCTTGTGTGCCTCCAGGTATCTTAGGAGCTCTATTTATCTTCCAGGCAGCAGACTAGGCCATCCAACATCTGTAAGCAGTTCTTTCTTCCAAGAGCTTCTTCCCTTGGCAGCTGCCAGAGAACTAACTCCTGCCAGACCCAGCCCTGGGACTTGTATGTGCCCAAGGTCCTGCCTCTTCCTGGTCAGATGCCTGCTAATTCCCCTATTAGCTCATTAGCCCATTAGTCTGGGTACCCTGCAGCTGTGGAGCTCTGCCTTGCTGGCAGAGCTCTCTAGCTAGCTGCTTCTGCTCTTAAAGTAGCAGTATCGCTTTAGCACCCTGCACCACAGTCATTTAAAAAAGTGTCACATCAGTCCAAGCTGGACTAAAGAGAACTGTAGAATATATGCTGAACATACTCAGCATAGATTTAGAAGGAATTTCAGAAAAAGATATCCAACAGCTTAAACTGCAGACAGTGGAAAAGACCCCCAAAACAAATGTAATTTTTAAGCACTTATTTGGATTCATTTTCATGCTGACATTTGCAATAAAATACCAGGGTAGATACCCAACTGTTGAAGAGAAAAATACTGCTGTGACATACACATCTAATATTCTTCCATCAGTAATACCAATCACAATAAATACCAGGTGTGTAAATGATAAGTTTACTGTTAGAATTTTAAAGAAGGTGAAGACCAGCAAGTTGGTATAAGTCACTTGGATAAACACCTGGAAGAGATTTTATTGAGCTGCTTTGATGGAAGTAGTCTGTTTGCATCTGGAAAAAAGGCTGTGTGCTTAATTTAGCTTAGCTCACTCCAAGTTGAGAAAGAAAACAATTTCTTTCTCCAGTCTATGAAGACAGGTAAGATGAAAAAGAATGGGATGCGCGGAGTTGAAAGAAACTTGAAGGACATGGGGAAAAGCAGCAATTGCTTACATATTTTTTTGTTTAATAAAACATTTTGATATTTGAGCCAAGAAAATTAAAACTGAACATAGAAAAGAGGCCTGGAAAGAACTTCCTTGTATCATAGGCAAATGTTACACAATCCCTTCCTTTGCCTGAGAGTCAACATTATCCTTATGGAAAGCTGAAACAAAGTTTTTGGGCCATACCTAGATTTTCTTGAATTTTAGTCTCATCCTCATTGTACAGTGGACCCACTTCTGAATTTTGCTATATCTAGTTTTTAAATTTATTTAAATTTAAATTATTATAAATTTAAATTATTATAAAATTATTTTTACTATGTTTTATTTTCTTTTGTGAAGGGTCTAATCACAGCTTCACTTTTGCTACATACAAAACTGACTACGGTTCCAATGAATGAGGCAAAGTGTGAGCAGCTCCCATGAATTGCCTAACTCCAGAAAACACCAAAATCTGTGGATCCTGCAGCCTCTGCAAACACCAGCTTGTGTGCTCATGGGCTGTATGACTGGGCAAGTAACACACAGAGTAGAAGAATGTCAGCTCTGTCCTTGCAAAACGATAACAGCTCTGGGACACAGAAACAGACATACTGACAAAATTCAGAATCCCTGATGTACATCCACCCATTTGTAACCTGAATTGCAAATTCTGGATTAGATTGAACAGGTTGCCAACTGCTAAAATGGCAGTGATGATGAAAAAATTCAGCCTGACCTGATTAATCAGGATGACTGCAAAGCAGTTTATCAAACATAGGGGGGAAAAGGGGGGAGGGGAATCAAGTTTAGAGGGAGGCATTACACCTGACTGTACATAAAGAAGATGCAATACTACTCTACCACCTTTAACCTTTATTTTTCTCTTTCCTAAACAGTGACATATTTCTTTTCTTGTAGATGTTTTGCATCCTGTAGAAGTAATTTTAATCCCTCCATATTACTAAGATTTTTTTATTTGGAGAAATTGTGAAATCTCAACCATCTCACCCTATTTCCTATTCAGAATAGGAACAGTCCTTTGAAGCTGGATAAACAGTATAATCAGTGATTTGCATCAGTACGGGCATATATTTTCTTCTATGTCCAGAGAACCACCACTCTCCTGCAGCAGTTTCATCTGTGCTCGGTCATATCTTCCAAATCTCATCTGAATTCACAGATCATCTCCTTTATCTGTAATCCTCCAATTTTCTGTTCCTTGAGTTTTGTCAGGTGTCACACGTAGCTTCCACCTGTTACCCAGTCAAGGATAATGTATCCCACAGCTCCTGGTAATTTTCCCTGCCAGTGCTCTCTTTCCTCTTTTAGCATCTACCCAAAAAAAGGCAACTCCCACCTCTCAGAATCCTTTTAAAAATACCTGTGAAAGTTACCTCTTTTCTGACCCTCAATCATTCACTGCTACCCCCCCATATCAAACATATTTAACGTAGTTTTCTTTACCTAAAAAAGTGATAGCAATGTTTTAAATACATTTCCATTTCCCTACATTTGACACCTGTACAATTTGCAGACTGGCACAAATTAAAGAAAAAAAAATGTAAGAAATGTGTCATTTGTGATTTTTCTAACACACTAAATATTAAGAAACTGAAGAAATTTGTTAACCCATACAACTGCTTTAAAAAGACCATCCCCTGGCTTACTAAAAAAGTAACTAAATACTGACATGCTAAATTTAGTACAAGCCAACATGCTTTATGGTTATACCAAACAAGAACAAATGTGTCTTTAGGAAAAAAATACAAATACAAAACAAGATTAAAAGTGATAGTTTAAAAATCAAAATTCCTTACTTGTTAGCCCATCCTAGAAAGAGCAAGTTTAAATGTTGAACAACTGTCCATAGGACTGGCCTGCAAATCAAAGGAATATTACTGGCCACATCCTATGCTAAGTAATTCAATATTTTTGAGAAGAGAATGAAATATTCTGGTGTGCCATTAACTCAAATAAGTGTTTTGTCACAATTAAAATTTTAATTGATTGTGAAATGCATTTCTTTTTCAGCCAATTGTACATATCACCATAAAATGGACTAAAGGACTAAACAGAAATTAGTAGAAAACATAATGTAAATGGAGAAAACTGACTATAGTTTGTAGAGTCAGCTTTTCTTCCACTATAGTCAGTTTTCTCCATTTACATTATGTTTTCTACCACTTTGTTTACTGTCATTGTAGATAGGTTCAGCACAGTGTACTTTTTGTGAAATTGTGGGCATAGTTTGTATAGTCAGCTTTTCTTTCACTATGTCCATAACTGTACAAGTACATCATGATAATGAACCTATTTGTATGAAAACCAAACAGAAACTGTGAGAAAAGAATAGATGAAACTGACTCTAGTCAAAGTATAAGCATGACTGTACAAGCTATGCTCAGAACTGCATAAAAAATAAACTAGAGTGAAAGAAAAAACATGTTTTTTTAAATCATTCAGCAATTGAATGGGTACCACAAAGGCAAGGAAAGTGTAAGTTTTTCTATGTTGCACTAACAATATAGATACGTCTCATATCTGAAATAATGGGGCTAACTGAGGCCAGAGGCAATGATAACCGATTTCTGTATTAATAAACTTAATGGAGACATTGTGGATAGAATACATCTAAAGAAATGAACTATTTTTACACAATCAAGTGGATTTTTTTTTTTTAACTTCACTAAGGAAAAAGGAAAATTAAGCAAGACTGAAAGATGGAGCCTGGGCCAGGTAAAACTGAGACACCCGCTCTGGGCCACATAAAGTCCCTTTGAGAGCCCGGCCTGAGGGCTGTATTATGTCCATCCCTGATCTAGCTCCATCCTCTCTGGAACCACCCTGCAGGTAGCTAAAGGCTCTTAACAAATTCCCCCTCAGTCTTCTCTTCTCCAGACTAAATAAACCCAGTTCCCTCAGATGCTGCTCAGAAGTCATGTGCCCCAGCCCCCTCACTATTTTCATTGCCCTCTGGTGGACTCTAATTTGTCCATATTCTTTCTGTAGTGGGAGGCCTAAAAATGGACTGCAGATGTGGCCTCACCAGTGCAGAAGAGAAGGGAATAATTACTTCCCTTGATTTGCTTGCAACACTCCTACTAATACAGTCCAGTATGCCATTAGCTTTCTTGGCAAAAAGGGCACACTGTTGACTCATATCCATCTTACTGTCCACTGTAACCCCCAGGTCCTTTTCTGCAAAGCTGCTGCCCAGCCAGTCAGCCCCCAGCCTGTACCGATGCATAGAATTATTCTGTCCTAAATGCAGGACTTTGCACTTGCCCTTGTTGAACCTTATGAGATTAAATTACATTCTCTCCCCTTATCTCCATCTATCGGAAGTCTAAATCAAGAATTATTCTTATTGGAAGGTTTTGTCAAGTGAAGTGATGAGAACAATTCATTTATTTCAGCTGCAGTCCCATATACATAAGACTCCTTAATCACTACAGCAAATTTGATGTTTGCGGCCTATACAAAAAAAGCCAATTAAAGTCGGTAGAGCCAAAAAATTAAAAATTAAAAAAATTAAAAGAATAGAATGGTGAGTTTTAAGGTGGCTGAGGAGTCGAATCCGTGCTCTGCAAGTTTTTCCACAGATATTATGACAGCTGGTACCTTGGAGGGGGACAACTACTGGCCAGGATGTTGCATGCTTTCCTTCCTCCTCTGCTGTTTCTCAGCTTCCTGAGCAAGACAGTTCTCTTCAAAGTGGGCTGTAGCTTGATGTATGGTGCAGCACCACTGAGACCTGATACCAGCCAGCCAACCCAATTTGTAGGGTTGATGCCACCTTTCTTAAGGTATGTTTTCAAGGTGTCCTTCTAGTGCTTGCTCGGTAGGCCCCGTTACCATGACTAGGGGCATTTATACACGTACTCCAGGCACTTAAGATGGCTTCAATATATCACCCACATCTCGCACTGGTAGAGGAATATGGGGTAAACACTGCATTGTAGAGCAGGATCTTCGTTTCTATCTGCAAACCTTGGTCAGCAAAAACACAATGAAGCAGCTTTCCAAAGGATATGCTTGCACAGCAAGTCCTACGTTCAGTTTCTACATCAAGATTGATTGACTGGAAGAGGCGACTGCCAAGGTATGGAAACTGCTTGATGTTTTCCAAGGGTTACGTGGGGGGCAGCTTGAGCTGGGGCAGGCTGATGGGCAGGGGGGGTGGTGTTGAGACAGACTATGTTTAGGGCACCTTTTCTAGCCTCTTCCCATTCACGGTGAGCAGAGGGGATCCTAAAGAGGACTGCTCAGTCACAGCCACACCTGCCGAAGTATGTCTGTCTTGGTAAGCACAAAATGACCATCACATAACTGCCACCTACATGTAGATTTGTGACTAGGGACTCCCAGACATTACTGTTCCTGCCCAACACCACTTGACTGTGGCCGCAGGACTTGTTAACATCTCCCCACAAACCATCTCAGCAAGTAAATACACACTGCAGAGAAGAACAGACCTGGGATCTCTACTAATCTGACTGAAGGAAAAACTCCTTCCTGGCCTCAAATTCAGTGATCAGTTGCTCACCTAAACGTAATTCTCTGTAGCACCAGAGATCAATGGCCCACTTTATTCAATGTCCCCATTAGGGATCTAAATATAATTAAAAAAAATCTTTTAACCTCCTTTAATTATATCAGTGAATCAATTAACCAATAACACAGCAGACTGGACACAGCTGCTGCTGGGAGCTGCTTGGGCTCCTGGAGCTCTTTGACTGTACAAGTGGGGGGAAAGAGGAGGCAAGCCCAGGCAGACAATGCAGTCCACCTGAAGCCCTGCCCTAGGAGGAAGGGAGCACCTGTAAACAAGACTCATCAATTAAGCAGTTAGGATCATTAGGCTGCTAGCTCTTTTGCTCTTAGGCTATAGGTACTAGTTGCCCTCACTCTTCCCTCTGTTTTCTGCTGGGGCACCATGCAGCTTCTTTTCCCTGCTTCCCTGACAGACTGTGCTGGCTGGGAGCTAAAGGATAACTGTAAGCTAAATGGTTATCATTACACTTACTGGTAAACAATTAGTCCTTTAAACTTTCATGAGGCTGAAACTGGTTGCTCATTCCCAGTTCCTTTTTCAGAGGAAATCTAGACCCCATAAAAGCTTGTTATTAATGAATTACACATCCTAAACCAGGGGCGGGCAATTATTTCGGCAGGAGGGATGCTTACTGAGTTCTGGCAAGCCATCGAGGGCGGCATGACAGGCAACCAGGGGCAAATAAATATTAACTTTCTAAAAATTTTTGGGCCCTACGGGCCAGACAAAATAGCCTGGCAGGCCACGTCCGGTCCACGTTTTGCCCACCCCCGTCTTAAACAAACAATTTCATTAGCTATGAATATTTACTAATTAATATGTATGATAACAACTAGTAAATATTCATAGTTAATGAAATTATCTCTGTTCCACCCACAGATGTGGGATGTGTAATTCATTAATAACAACTTTTATGGGGTCCAGATTAGCTTTGAAAAAGGAACAGGTTAAGCAACCAATGTCAGCCTCAAACTTCCACATCCCTAGTCCCCACCTGCATTTGTGGCCAATCTGATGCTTCAGAGGAAGGCAAAAAAACCCCCAGACAAATCTGTACTATAAGAAGCAATTCCTTCCAAGTGAACAACTAAAGCTGAAACTGGCTTATCATCATGGTCTTAACAGACTTGCAAGTGTTAGGGACAACAGCAAGTCCCTAACATGCCACCAAACATGGCCAGGGGCAACAGGAACTTCCACGTTGCACTCCAAGGCCATGAAGAAAGTGAGAGGAAAGATTCCCTGCGCAGGGCCCAATGCCAGAAGGTCAAGATCATCCGTCCCAGGGGCTCTGCAGTGCGCAGGGGCGGCTGTGACGGAGCCAGAGCACGGCTTCCAGTTCGGAGACCGAGTCCGGCCAGCGGGGCAGACCCGCGCTCCGGCCCCAAGGCGCAGGCGAGCAGCAGGCCCGGCCTGGGCTGCGCCTCGTCCCCAGGCCGGTGGTGTCCCGCACTGACGTCACGGCAGCGCCAGCACGAGCTGCTTCTTGCGACGACAAGAACTGCGGAGATCAGTTACGTCATCAACAGACTCGCCCCGGCGCCCCCTCACCTAGGCACACGAAGAGCACGGACTTGACTTCCCTCGCCGCCATCTCCACCCGCAGTGCCGACCCCCAGGTCCTTCCGGCTGTCGCGCCAGACGCGCGGCGCTTTACGGCCCCGCCCTTGCCGCTTGACCTCAGCAGTGCCTGACTGGAAAAAAATGTATATATTTGAAAAAAAAATGCAAGCCAAGATTGCGGTCCCGGCCACAAACTTTCTCCCCTCGGTAAACCCATTGGTGGTGCGAGATAAAGAATCAGGCAGTGGGGTAGACAGCCCTGCCCCTCCCAGCCTCACCTGGCGCAGGTGAGCGGAGCGGGCGACGCGGAGCGGGCTGCGAGCAGTGAGTGCGGGCCGTACGCAGCGGGGGAGGCGGGCCGTGCGCAGCGGGGCTGCTGGTGTCGCGTGTGCTGGTGTCCCCGGGGGGTGGGAGCGGGGGTGCAGGCATCAGCCGCCTTTGCGATGCCCCCAGGGTCAGTTCCAGCCTCTGGGCCTTGCCTGCAGCCACGAAACAATCAGTGGCAGCCGAAGTGGGTAACAGGGGTTGCTTGTGCCTTCTTCCCTGGTGTTTGAGGGGGGGGTCATCCAAGCCTCCTCTGAAGCCCCTGGCTCTGACTCGGCCTTACCAGGTGGACGATCATGACCACATAGTTTCATAGTAGCTAGGGTCAGGAGGGACCTGAACAGATCATCAAGCCTGACCCCCTGCCACAGGCAGGAATGAATGCTGGGTTCACAAGACCCCAGACCGGTGATTGTCCAACCTCCCCTTGAATTTGCCCAAGGTAGGGGCGAGGACCGCTTGTACATTTGTACACCCATTTCAACCCTTGCACGATGTACGACTGATAATAGTAAAAGTGTTCAGAATGTACGACAATTTTTGAAGCAGCGAATAAATGCAGCATATGCAAAACCCAAGTTGCTCTCGGGGAGTCCTCACTGACTTTTGGGTTTGCCAGCACTTTCTTATGACTGCTTGTCTCCAGAGAAAGAAATGCTTTAGCTTTGACCCAGTTCTCACTTGCTCACTGGTGAGTTATAGTTTTTCAGTCAACACAATAATTTTGAGCCTCCAACGCGATAATTTAATATTTAAGACCTGGCGACACTGCTTGGACTTCTTCTCACTCATGTGACGCGTGTGGAAAGTGCAAGACTCGCTGCCCCTAGAGGTGGCGGCAGCTGCAGCTCAGCCGGTTGGAGGAAGAGGCTGGACAAGCTGGGGGCCACTTCTGAGCAGGGCAGTGCGGAGCCCAGCCTCCAAATTGGTGCTTTTTAGACCCGAAGTGCTGGAGGCTGGAAGTGAGAGAGGAGCAGCAGTGGGGAAACCTCTAGTCAGGCCCAGCTCACTCCCTCTTTCCTCATCTTCTCTGCTGCTGTGTGACACACATGGGCCTTTTGATATGCCATTGGGACAGTGGGCCAGAGCCCACCAAGTAAAGCTGTAAGCCCCACTTGGTGATGGTCACTAAGGAGATATCACTGATTACAAACTGGGGCACACATAAATGAAACAGGGACAGTATTGAGGGTCATAAATTTATGATGAGTGCATGGAGGGGGGACACCAAGCACAGCACACCAGACGGCATCCACTGGCCCTTGAACAAGTCCAAGGAGCCAGTTGATACTCTGCCCAGGTATGTGAATGGATGAGGGAGTGTGACACAAACCTATTTGTCGTCCTTTAGGGGGGTGGGCCTAGGCCCACCAAGTAAGTTATTGGCCTCCTTCAGGCAGGGAGGTTACAGAAAAGGTGACAATTGATTACTTGGGACAAATAATAACAAAAACAGGGACAGGCATGGAGGTCAGAGGTTCAAATAAGAGTGCCAAGGAGGAAAACCAAGCATATCGATATGTGAACAGATGAAGGAGTACGACATATACCTTGTAATACATCAGGGGAAGTCACGGGCCAGGACTGCCGTGGAAACTATAAGCCCGCTTTAATATTGGGGGGGGTCAGTAGTGATGTGTTACAGATTTCTTTGGACAAATAATATTGAAAACAGGGACAGAAATGGAGGTCAAAGGTTCAAAACAAGATTGTCAAGGGGGGACATGGAGTAGAGCACACCGGATGGCGCCTACTGGCCCTTGAACGAATCCAAGGAGCCAGGACAATGCCCAGTGATATTCTGCCTGGATATATGAATAGACGAGAGAGTGTGACATAGGAGGCTGTGCAGGACAGATCTACCATCTGACCCAATAAATGGCAGTTCTTATGACACGTGGCCCCTGCTGGAGGTTGGGCATGGAGCTCTCATCTCTCTTTCCTGGTTTCATGATCTAAATTTAGCACCTCAGTTCTGCTCAGTGGACTGAGCAAAAGGCAGGGCAGGATGTCACCTTTTAGACTAACCAGTTCAAAGAGGCGAGAGCCACCAGAGACAGTGATCTGCTTAGTTGGACACTAACAATGTAATGCATGCTGCAGCAGCCTGTTCCCAGCATCTGATGAAGCAGGCCATTGCCTATGAAAGCTCCTGCCTCTTTGAGCCAGTTTGTCTAAAAGGTACTGCCCTGCTTGACTTTCTGCTTAACTTCACATTTGCATGCCCCACTGACTCTGTGCCAATCAGGACAGGGGAGTCGAACTCATCTAGCCCCATTGGCGGGGGGAGGGATGCAAGGCCAGCCCATAGGTCAAGTCTAGGTGATGGACCCACAGACCCCCAGCACCCACTCCAGGATCTACTTTGTATGCAGCATGTGTGCTGGAGTGGCTGGGGCAGGCACTGCATGCAGCAGAGTTCACAAAGCAACTTGGGCAGGTGCTGCAACAGTGCAGTGTAGCAGGGGCAGGCCAGGACTGTCATATGCAGCACCTGCTCCTGCCACAAGTGAACAGTGGCAAAACAACCAGACCGCCATAATGCATAGATATCATGTTAGTCATCCCTCTAGGCATTAGACCTGTAGCCTAAGTAAATTCTGGTTCTTCTGGATGCTAATCAGTTGTCTTAACTAACCAACTGCTTATACTGTGGCTAAATTTGACTGGCATTCTAAGTTGAAAGAGAGGGTTCCCTCTCTGGGGGAAGGGGTTTCAATCTCTGGTGACACGGGTGTTTTCATTGCTGACAAGTGTTTCATGTTCAGCTTCTAGAAAGGCACACACTTATGCATACTCACCTTTCATTTTGAACATTTTTATAATAAAGGTTAAAAAGTATGTGGGGGGAATCTCTCTTTTTTGGATTTTTTTTTAGTTAAATTATGTAAAAAAGATTGTCTCTTGCAATGATAACATGATAATTGATGGTATATGCAAACCTGAGACAGAAAAGCAAATAAGATGAGCATTTTAACACCTAATTTGTAAAGTAAAAAAAAGTAAAGAAAGTATATGTTAAGATGACTGGTAGACAGAAAAATGTGTTTTTAATATTTTTGTGTGTATGTGGGATAGAGAGAGTGGAAACCTGTTTATAGAAGGTTTGAAGCTTGGAAGACCTTATGGTAGAATCCATATACAACCCTGCTTTATAGACATTCATTTACATTCATTTAGTAAACATTTACCCACAACATTACCTAAGTCTTGGCAAGTTTGAATTCAGTAGGACAGTGCATAAGATTAAGCACGAATACCTTGCTTTAGTCAAGAAGTTATTTTAGGAGTTAGTAGTATATATTTTCATAGGAAGAAAAACACATGTTATAATTTACTGCTAATGTGCATCATTGGGCATTTGAACTGACAGCCTATTCAATTTGCCACAATTTTTTGTTCTTTGTTCACAGCAATTAATTCTGGAGCAGAATGGGATGGCAAATCTGTGCCGAATAGTTAAAATATACTTCCTTATGCCTTTGTAATACACCATGGAAAATTTATCTTTTTTTTCCTGTAACCTGTGCATTTATCCTAATGGAAAGTAGGTGTAACATGCTTTCAGATCAGAATGTTAGTCTTTTCTAGTATCAACTCCAGTGGACTAAATGACTTTGTAAAGGGCATAGCTATGGTCCTATGTCTTCATAGGAGTGAAAAAGCTGAACAGAATTCAAGTCAATCTGATAATTTGACTAGCTAAGTTAGTTTGTTCATGACAAGTACCCTTAAAAAACAATTCAGTTTGCATCAAAACAGATTTTGCTTTTATATCTGTTGTGTTTTGAATAGTTAAGGAACAGGGAAATAATTAAAATCCTTGCTTTTTGGTTTAATTATTAACATCTGAATAATTTTGATTCACCTTCCTCTGATGCTGTTTAAAATGCTCTCCATTCTTTTGCACTTGCTTTCATATCTTGAGAGTCATTAATTTCAGAAAGTATCTCTCCTAGTAGGAGGGTGGTCAGAATTGCAGTAATTTATGGGCTTTGGCTTTGGGACACGGGAAGCTAGAACTAGTATGTGAAGATCGAATGCAGAGACTGAAGGGAATGTGTGGTGATTTTGGTTGATGTAGTTTATTAAATTTGTTACCTGTCTGCAAGTAATGACTGGAGCATGTATATTTTATGAGATGTATTTTTATTAATTTGTTGGGGAAACCAACATTTTTCTTTTGTAGTTTTCAGTGTGAGCAAGGTAAGTATCTGAAATGCCTTTCAATAACGTATTGAGCAATCTGACTAACATGTCACATGTTGTTTGCTCTCCTCTGGGGGAGGAACACGTGCAGTGTTTGTTTTGATAATGGTTTTCCTCCCTAAGTGTACTTGTTTCTCTATATTACAGTGCTCTGTATTATCAGTTCTAGTACAGGTGAAAATGGGAATGTCTTTCCTTGTTTTGTTTGCGTGTGTCTCATAAGCAGACATCCTGGCTTTCTCCGATTAAAAAACAAAAAACCCAAACCCCAAATTTTCTGATTTTAACCCCCCCCCCCACACACACACATTTTTACATCATTAAAACAAACTACCACTATATATTATTTGGCTTGATATGGCGTTTAGTTTATATGACACAAATTTGGATTTTGTGGCGTGGGTTTTAAATGAGAGCTGTTAAAGCTGTCTGTGCGCCAAACTTGTTACAGGTATAAACCTATTTCCGATCACTTATCCTAGTAGAAGTATAATGTCTGTACCTGGCCCTGGTGACAGTGGTATGGTTGAGTGTGATGAAAGATAGCTGTGTATCATCTGCGCGCTCCTGGCATTTGAGATTTGAGTCCATGTCTTCTGACCGGTTAACCTAGCAGCTGCCATGTAGGTTCTGAAAAAGACCGGGAAGCTAACTGATGCTTCTTGGACTCAACAAGGGATGGAGGTGAAGTGTCTTAGGATATGTGGTCTTTTGTTTAGTGTAGTACTAACTTCAATGAATACATGCACAAACAAAGTGCCTGATTGTAATTGATTGGGATGGGAGAAGAC